GCATCTCTGCCTGCTTCGGAGCGGGACGGGGAGCTGAAAAAGCTGTCTTGCTGTCCCAGCCTGGAGCTGGGATTTGAGAGGGGGAAATAGGAATGGGTGATACGTGAGTTTACGTTAGTTGACAGGGGTATATCACTTGCATTTCAACTCGGAAGATTTCATTGTATTTTAATAATTCTTTTGTGCTGCTTTTTTTCTGGAGCTTTTATTCCTCTAGTGCATGTGTTTTCACACACTAAAGCAAAGCAGATGCGCTTCAGCATGGGCTGAGGGAGTTTAACCAGATACAAAGGAAGTGTAAACCAAACAAATTTTCTTGCTTGAAAACACGCAGAAAATTTGTTTTCAGATTGTATCTCAGTGGGGGGATTAGGGTAGGAGATCAGCTTATGTATTTATTTATTAGCATATTCACAGTTTGAGGCAATTATCAATCACATAAGTCTTCAAAGAAAGATAATGCAATGAATAATTCTTTAGAAACCACAGTGGTGAAGTTAGCCTTGTGCATAAGTGTTGGCGAGGTTCAGCTCCACAAGAATTAGGCAGGCAGATTGCAGCGAGTTTTGCTGGGATCTGAATGCTTCACGTCTTATGTTCCAAAAAAGTTCTGGCCTGGAACTCCATAAATGTACATTTGGAGAAAGCACAGTGGTCAGAGCAGTCATCTTCACAAGAACAATATGTTTTGGCTTAATAAGTGGTTGCTCTACTCTTTTACAGATCCTTGTTTTGATTTATATCTTGCATGGTTTTGTTTGTCTTCTCAGATGAAACTGTATATTGCTTTTTTTTCCTGAATGTTTTGAATCTAGCTATAAAGGGCAGCAGAGAAAACCACACAATGATCCCAAAAAAGACTAATTGGTTTATTTACTCAAAATCCGGGTTCTTTTACGCTGAGTTATGCAAAATTGCCGCAACAGGTTTTGTTAGTATTTGAATCTAGGGTCATATTTTATGGCTAGACATTAAGGAAATTGGACAAAAGATGTAGGTCAAACAGTATAATTAAAAATACAGACCAGCAAATTGTATCCAACAATAGTTCACTTTCCTGCTGCTAATGAAATATGCTAGCACAAATTAATGGCTTGTTACTTAAGCCTGCTGGAAAGACTTTGTCCTAGTACAAAAGGCATTCAGTTTGAGCATGTGTGTTACAATCTTCTAACCAGCAAAGCTGGAGGTTGGACATAGCTATAAATCCAGTGTGTTCTGGGAATAGAAGCTGGCAAAAACACTCCTAGCAAAATAATCAGGGTAGGATCTCGCTGGGATTTGGATACTGGCTAACGTAACTAAATGCAGATGTTTATGTGGACCTAAAGACATTCCCAGGATAAGAATACTGTACAACACACGACGATTTTTATAGCAGAAAAAACCAAGGAAATGGGGATAATAAAACATATGCTCTTATTTCTGATGAAGCATTTTCTGTTTTCCTTGGCTTGCCTGTACTGAAGTAGGCCAGGCTGCCTCTAGAGTATCCCCTGCTGGGGCCTGCTGGAGCTTCCGTAAGGCGCTTGGGTTGCGGCTCTGGTGCTTACCTGAAGGTCTCCACGGGCTCCCCGAGAGGGTCCCGAGGTCTCTCTTCCGTCAGCGAAGAGAAGCAAGCGTTTCTGAAAGTGTGATGTATCATACCCTCAGGTAACAGCTAAAATAGGTCAGATGAATCTTATCCCAAATGCCTGGGATTCTCTCTACAACGGGAGTCTGGGGTGATTGGTGAGCTTAAATGGAGATATTTGTGTGGTACAAAGAGTTTGGCCAGATGAATTTGGTATTAGTGGATTATTTGCAGACAGTACCTTTGTCAAAAAGTAGCATTTCTTGCAAATTCTTTCATTCCTTTTATTCTCGTCAACTTCAAATAATAGTTTCAGGTGAGAGAAATGGGAAGAAAACAGATTTTTCTAGTTAGTGTATTTTGTTTCGGAAAAAATGAAAGCAAAAAGTTTCAATTCTTCTTTTGTAAAATGTTTTATTCAGCACATCAAATTTAATGTTTAATTATCTAAACTTTCTGAAGTGTCCTGAATAAACTGGGTGAAGGAGGAAGGAGATGGCATTTGTTAGTGGGATACAGGAGGATACTTTAAAATTTTTGGCCCAAAACAGTTTTTCTCCTATTTTCCTCAGACTGGCAATCAAAATGGGAGAAATCACATTCCCCCAGTTCTGTTCCTGATACTAAAAGAAAAGTCTTCTTGTTAAAGAAGATGCTGAATAAACAATTCTTTAATGAAGTTGCTACGTATTATGTATTGTCTATATAGGAGTGGAAATTTGTGCTTTTTACGTGGACAGTTCTCCAGGTCCAGAGTTTACAAGTGATTTGCTCTTGAGAAAGGAGCTTCTTCTCAACTGCTTTCTCTTTTGGTCTGCCAAACCGAAATATGCAAAATGGCTGAAGTATACCAGATCTCTTCTACTGAGAAGGTCCAGCAGCTGCAACAAGAACTAGCAGCGCAGCTGGCAGAGCTGAAGGCAGAAATAGAAGACAACAGGATACTCCACGGAGTACTGAGTAGGGCATACAGGTAACAAGAATTTGCTGGGAATGAAGGAGAGAGTGAGATTATAGCAGTGCATTGTATCTCTTCTTGGGTTTTTTTTGGTCATGGTACAAAAGTCCTGTGTCTATGTAACGGTTCAATTTCAAGACCTGAGTACACACATGGGAGCCAAGAATAGCAGCTTTTTCATTGTGTGTCTACCACAGAATTACAGTTGAAATGGA